GAGACCCCATCTATACACAAAAAAATTACAGATTAGTCAGGTGTGGTGATGTGTGCCTATAGCACCAGCTATTCAGGAAGCCGAAGTGGGAGGATCACTTGAGCCCAGGGGTTTGAGGCTGCAGTGAGCTGTGACCACACCACTGCACTCCAGCCTGGGCAGCAGAGTGAGACGTAGTCTCTTAAAAAAAAAAAAAAGGATACTAGATGAAGATGAGGGGGAGGGGTGTGAAGTGAAGAGGACAGACCAGCTAGGAGGAGGCTGCCGCCACAGCCTCTGGGCAAGAGATGAGGTGACCTGGTCAGGCCCCATGGCCATGGAGATGGGAGGCATGGACACGGTAAGCTGTAATTTGGAGAAGAATCTAGAGGACTTACTGATGATCAGATGTTGAAGTGCAGGACAGAGGAGATGCTCAGGCCACTTCCAGCTGCCCCTACACAGTGCTCTTGTGGGAACCAGGAAAAGGGCCCCGTTTCTCGACAGATGCACCACTGGGAATGCCCCCAAGCCAAGCATGCAGCACAGGCCACCTGTGCAAGACCCTCACCTTGAGGCCCTCACTTGCAAGTGCAAAGTTGCTCAAACCTCTGATCCCCACTCAGAGACCTGAGCAACTTTGGACTTGCAGAGCTTGTAGTATCTGTGGCAATCCTAGGGGAGCCCTGGGCTGTGCCCAAGTTTTGGGGACCATTTCCACACAGCAATTCTACCCCTGGCTCCAGCTGTGCATGAAGTTTCTTCCCTCCCTGCCTGGGCACCAGACTCTTTACAGTACTTACTCCTCGTACGCAACTAACCTTGTGAAAAAAAAGTTTTTAAAACCCTGGAAGCTTATGTTACAAGACCATTTAGCACTGAAATAAATGCAAGTTCTAGAACATCTGCAGCCAAAATGAAAGTAAATAATGACAGAATGTGAGTCATGAGTAGTTTGCAAAGCTTGTAAACAAAGCATCCTCCTAAATTCAGAGCGAGGCCTGAGAGTTGGGTACCTATTAATCAGCCCTTAACTCTATCATGCACAAAAGGACACATGTCCTCATTAGCAAGCCATGAGGGGAACTTAGCTGATTGCCACTTTATTATCTGGAGTTCACTTAAAACTGAAATAAAAAGCATATCCCCTGAAGCACAGAGCACTCATTCTCACTTTGTTTGAAAGAATCACTTCACTGCTAGTGTCAACATGAAGCTTAACATCCACTGGGAAAGGCAAAACAACCCCGCTCGACCAGCCAGGAATGTCCCTTCCATCCCTCTCCCAGGGGCTGGTCATTTTCCTCTCCTGGCCAGTTGCTCTCCAAGGGCAGGGTTAATGCCTCGTTCTTTCATCCCCGACATTCCCGTGTCTAGTATGTGGCCTGGATATAGTAGGTGCACATTAAACATCTGTCATGTGAGTGGATGAGCATCTTTTCCAAAAGGCCAGTGTTCACCCCATCCCTAGACTTCCCGGGGGCCCTGTCTGGCCAGAGGATGGACCAAAAAGGGATCTGGGTCAGGAGACAGAAGGTTTGGCTCCCATAGCAGACTCTGCCACTCACAAGCATGTGCTCATGTGAGTCATGTCATCCGTTTCTGTGTTCCTGTCTCTAAAACAGGAAGAATACCTGTCCCCCAACTTTTTAAGGTTTTGTGATGACGCGATGGGAAAGAAGCACTTGGAAAGGGGTTCCACGAGTGTGATGTGATTCCCTTCACACCTCAGAGGGGAGTTCTGCAATTGAGAAGGCAGGACAACGCAGGACCACCGTTAGAGATGGAGCACAGCTTACTCTCGGAAAGCCAGTAGGTAAGCAGAGTGGATCTGGAGGGATAATGAATGACTGCAAAGTCACAGAAGGCAAGGCCGCCTAGGCTGTGCTCTCTGCACAGGGGAACTAGAAATTAGAATACAAACTATGGAGCCAACTGATAACACAAATATGGGAGTGGCCTGCTGTAAGGCAATAGGGAATGGTGGGGCCTGTGGCCAACTAGAGATTATACTCATGCTGTACCTCAGGCATTTACAAAAAGATTTAAAACTTACACCCCCTGAAACAGCAAAACGCATCTATGGCCTGCTGGCTGGGAGTCTGAGGCCCCTGCCGACGGTTGTATCAAGCATGTCTTACCGCGTGCCCCCTCTGCTTAGGAACTGTGAGTAACAAAGTATCTCTCCAATGGCAGTTGTCTCCTGACCTGTTGGCCTCATTAGGCCCAAATAGTAAGAAAACCTACATTTTCATACATCTGTAAACCCCGCTGGAGCACAGATCATCATGGCCACTTTATTTCCCCCAGTGAATCTTGGCACCTAGCACAGTCCAGGTACATTGAAGACACAATTTCTTCTTCTTCTTCTTTTTTTTTTTGAGACATAGTTTTGCTCTGTCACCCAGGCTGGAGTGCAGTAATGCGATCTCAGCTCACTGCAACCTTTGCCTCTGGATTCAAGCGATTCTCCTGCCTCTGCCTTCTGAGTAGCTGAGATTGCTGGCATGCACCATCATGCCCAGCTAATATTTGTATTTTTAGTAGAGATGGAGTTTCACCACGTTGGCCAGGCTGGTCTCAAACTCCTGACATCAGGTGATCCACTCGCCTTGGCCTCCCAAAGTGCTGGGATTACAGGTGTGAGCCACCGTGCCCGGCTGAAGACACAATTTCAAACTAATCGATGAATGGATGGGCATAGGGGTGAAAGCAAAGGGCTGGGCAGAAGCATCTATTTGGCTACGCGGATCCCTTACACTTCAGCCGCACGTCTGCAGTTGCTTCAGGACACTAAGCTCTGCACATGCCTCAGTTCTACGGCTGGCATAGATGCAGGCAATCAGTCAGGAGCCAGCCAGAGGGAGTGGCATGAGTAAGCGGTACTTAAACTGAGGCTCACCACCCCGCTGGCATTCAGCTTTTCAGGCAGCTCCTAAGTGGGGGATGGGAGCAAGGCTTTTCTTTTAATGGCCAATCTTCTGGCTAACTCTGGCTATTTGCTTTATTCAAACTCTTAGAAAGAGATAGCCATCTCAAAGCGTTTCTGTACCCATTGATAAAAGGGGAAAAGTCAGAGAGAGACTCCCCAGCCCACCTTCAGTCTCTGGGGCCTGCCCACGACAGGCTCTACAAAGGGAGACAATCAGGCCACCTCAAGCCTCCCTGTGTCTGCAGTCGTGCAATGGGCTGTCCCCACATCCCTGAATAACGGAACTGCATCGGTTAATAAACTGAAATCTGAGCTAGAGAAGCTGTGTTGCTTTTCATCTTTACTCTTTAAAATGCATCAGTCTAGCCAGGTGCGGTGGCTCACACCTGTCATCCCATCACCTCGGCTGAGGGGGCGCATCACTTGAAGTCAGAAGTTTGAGATCGGCTTGGTCAACATGGAGAAACCCCGACTCTACTAAAAATGCAAAAATTAGCTGGGATGGTGGTGGGTGCCTGTAATTCCAGCTACTCGGGAGGCTGAGGCACAAGAATGGCTTGAACCTGGGAGACAGAGGTTGCAGTGAACTGAGATCATGCCACTGCGCTCCAGCTTGGGCAACAGAGTGAGACTCTGTCTGAAAAAAAGAAAAAATAAATGCATCAATCTGCTCTGTTCTGCTTGAAAATGAACTGAATTTCTCTGATGACGAGGCCCTTGGGTGTCATTCTCAGCATCACCATCTTCTTCCCAGGTTCTGGAAACAAGCAGAGAGAAGACAGGCATAGAGTAGGCCTGTCTGAGAAGTACCTGAGGAGGGTAGAGAAGCCTGTGTTTGCTGTTTCTGATGAATGCCAATTGGTTATTTCGCGCTCAGCAGTGAATGGCTCCCTGAAGGCCGTCCCTTTCCCAGGCCCTGGATGGAAGGACAGGAAACATTTGACCACTGTGTCTGGACAGCAAGGTTAGGGAATGCAGGGGGCTGCCCAAGAGCTCATGTGGGGGACAGTCATCAGGAGGGTGACTGCGACCCAGAACAGACCCAGTTTAGGGCTTGTCATAGGCATTATCCCAGTTTACTTATTAAGCTCACCCCTATTCTTTTCAAAAGTATCCTGGTTTGATTGATAAATTACACAGTCACCTTCAACATCAGGGAATTTTGCAAACAGGAAAGTCTGAGGCAGGAGGCTCACGTGCATCAGAGGCTTGTCACTTTGTACAAATAGAAAGGGCTTAGCAAACATCCTGGAAAAGGCCTGGCGGCAGGAACAATTCACTGAAGGGAGCTGAGCCTGGCCTTGGCCCTGGTGGGCTCTGCTCTGAAAGTGGAGTTACCTGGGCTGGCGGGGGCAGCCTGGCCCGAGCCTGCTCCACTCACAGCCTCCCCACCCACGAAGAGCCTGCTCATAGGCAGCATTTATTTTCCCTGTTGAGGTCTCAAGCCAGAGTTAGCAAGTCCAGCAAAGGGCAGGGGCAGAGAGGAAAGGATTATGATGTGCTCCCAATACAGGGTCCCAGAGTCCCACCAATCCATCCTCAGCACACGCCTGTGCTACAATCGCATTCAACAATACCTTGGGTTGCCATGGGGACCCTGGACAATTTCCCACTTGTGTTTTTTTTTTTCCTTCCTGGTTGAGATCTTGTTTCTGTCAAGATGAACTATTTATCTGTGTTGCATGAAATGTCATGGGTTGTGGTCAAAACCAGGACCAACCCACGCACAAGAAATAATAACCCTTTGAGGACACTCGCACACAAGCTTCCCGAATCTTTAGAGGCGGTCCATGATTCATTTTCTTCTTCCAGCACTGAACTTGCTCTAGAGAAGTATTGAACCGAAAGGCAACTGGCAGGCAATACCCCCAGTAGCTTAGGTCTGTCAGAACAATTCATGCTTGAGTTAACTGACCAAGTGACCTGTGGACCTGCGTCCGCTCGCCAGAGAGGCAGAGCAAACACTTACAAGGTAAAAGGTGGTGAAATGTTTCACCCTGTGGCCTTACATGAAGTTGAATGAAGCTACAAAATGCTCAAAGTGTCCAGTGTTGAAGGAATCTCTGTTTTGTGAATGAAAACTTCCAAGATGATTATTTTTTATATTAGCTTAGCCATCATGCAAAACTTACTAGTGAAGCAGTTAATAAAACACACATATCCCATGGAAGGGTTTTGTACATTTTAGTCCTTACAAATAACAAAGCAATGATAAACCCTGCATGGTCCTGAGAGGAAGTTCCTTTGCTTCTTAACGCTGCCAGGCCTGGCTCTTTGGGGGCTCATGTGTTATAAACTCTGGAAGCTCTTTTAGCTGCAGTCTGAGCATCAGATGAATCTTCTTCCTCTTCCTCGGTTCGCTTGTGTTTTAAAAACAAGTCAGACTTTAAGAAGCGGCTGTAGCTGTCGTACTTCATGAGATTAAAGATCTAAGGAGGAAAAGAAGAAAGAGTCGGAAGACTGAGGCTAATCCAGGCCATGAATCATCCTATCAAATATGTATTAGATACCTGCCATGTGCCAAAGAATACAAATACATGCGAGGGATATACTCAGAAGGCTCAAATAAGTCATATGCTAGACAAGGCAGATTTCCTGGATATTTCTGGTCATTATGAAATAATCTCAATGGAATATAGAGAGAGTCACATGAACCAATATGCCTTTATGTTCCACGGAAGTATAGATTCACGCAGCACTGATTCAGAGCCTTGTACCAAGAAGTCCTTCAAGACTCTCCACTTTATTTGCATAGATTACACAAGGATGTATTTCTCCAAGAGCCTGAGACAGCCAAATAGAAACCATTTCTGTAGAGGCGGCGGTGTTACAAAGATCACTGACATATCATATGATGCCGGTATTGTTGAGACTCCCAGTAAGTCTGGCATCCGAGATCCCAAACAAACCTATGATTGTGCCAAGAGTCCAAATGAGGCATACGCACTGCAGGGTAGGGCAGTGAAACTATAATCTTAGCAAGGAAACAGGTCCCAAATAAAGAATAGAGCAGCCGGCTGCAGAATGTCAGCAGCTGTGCCATCAGACGGGCTGTGGAGCACATCCTTAGAATGAAGGAACTCTAAGATATGTCGTGTGGGTGAAGAGGACCCCCAACAGAGCTGAAGTCCCCCAGATTAGAGGGCTGCCCCCGCCTGCATGCCAGGTGCTCAGATGGCTGTCCCCAGGCAAAGTAGCTTCCTCTGGCCTCCACTGAACCTCTCTTCTGGGCCTCGATCCCTGTGACCAGCATTCAATTTCCTCCACTCCTACCCAATCCTGTGTCATCTCCTCCCTTGCCCCATGAAAGGGGCAGGGAAAGGAGAAGCACAAAGACTTTTCCAGCTGTCGAGGGGCACGATGTCTTTCTCACCCCTTGTCTCTCTCTCTCTCAGACCTTTCCACTTAACTTTCAGAACATTCTGCAACTAAAAATCCACACGGTTCACGCTGGTACACGGCACCAACAGAGGCTCAACCAAGTGGAAAGTTTCAGAGATGTCAAGAATGTCACTGACTGCCAGGCGGGGTTGTCAAGTGGGTGGGAAACCCTGACATCTTTTAAGGCTGCCCTCTCCCAGCACACACAAACTATTTTGTAAATTAAACATCTGAGGAAGCTGGGCACAGTGGCTCACACCTGTAATCTCAACACTCTGGGAAGCAGAGGCAAGTGGATCACTTGAGGTTTGGAGTTCAAGATCAGCCTGGCCAATATAGTGAAACCTGTCTCTACTAAAAATACAAAAAAAAGCCAGGTATGATGGCATGTGCCTGTAATCCCAGCTACTCGGGAGGCAGAGGTAGGAGAATTGCTTGAACCCAGGAGGCAGAGGCTGCAGTGAGCTGAGATCGCGCCATTGCACTACAGCCTGGACAACAGAGCAAGACTGTCTCAAAAAATAAAAATTTAAAAAGGCTGGGTGCAGTGACTCATGTCTGTAATCCCAGCACTTTAGGAGGCTGAGGATGGCAGAGAACCTGAGGTCAGGAGATCGAGACCAGCCTGACCAACATGGAGAAACCCCGTCTCTACTAAAAATACAAAATTAGCCGGGTGTGGTGGTGCATGCCTGTAATTCCAGCTACTTGAGAGGCTGAGGCAGAAGAATCACTTGAAATGGGAGGTGGAGGTTGCAGGGTGAGCTGAGATCGCGCCTCTGCACTCCAGCCTGGGCAACAAGAGCCAGACTCCATCTCAAAAATAAATTAATAAATTAATTAAATAAATAAAAAATTTTTTTAAATAAATAAACATCTGAGGGACTCAAAGGACTCAGAACATCTGCTTGAGGGTGGGAGACGCCTCAGGAGGGAACTGGAACGCTCACATTTTACATAGTCATCTTCCCAAGATGGCTTCAACCACAGCAGAACCGCCTGATTCACTCTGCTAGAGACAGAGCCCACAACCCAGAGAACGCCCTGGGACTTTAGCTTTTCTTTAAACTGTTAAACATCGCCTGGTGCCCTTCTAGTCTTGCCCGAGTCCTCTGGCTGCTCAGCAGGACTGAAGCTGCCCCCAGAGCCCCTGTCCTGTGCCATGCCACAGCACTCATGCCATTCAGTAATTCCAGGTGTGACTGTAATTTGCTGAGGTTTGGAGAAAAAAACATTTTTTTTTAATCCCAGCAAATACAAAAATCATGGCCAAGGGTGAGGTGGGCGATGAGAAGTGGCATCACTCTGTCATGACCCCCGGGAATGTGCTAAGCAGGTGTCACACCTGCGTGTTCAGCCCTTCCAGGCATGAGAGCCCCCACTGGGAACTTTCAGATGCCAACCTGGTTCAAAGTCCAATGAATGCTCAAATTCGACTAATGAAACCAGGTGCACAAGGGTCCCACCTGGCACCCAGCCTCAGCCCTGTACCCACTCCCACCCCAGGTCCACATAGATGGGACCCATGGCTCTGAGCAGGATGCAGTGTGACCCAAGCTTCTCGTGTGAAGTCTTTACATGTGGGAGAGGAACATCCTGTTTGCCTGTAGTGGCTCTGAGGCTCAGACTTCAAAGGAGAGAAGAAAAAAGGCCAGTGCTGGGGGCACCCAGGGCAGAGGAGGAGGGGGAGGGATGGAGGCTGCTTCAGCTGGGAGGAAGCTCAGGGCCCTGAGATCCCAAGGCTGCCAGCAAGCCTAAGGGGAGGGGGCTGCGAACTAAGAGTGTAGGGCCACTCCCTGCTGGGGCAGGTGTGAAATGCCCCACAAGTACAGAAGTCCTTCAGGCAGAGGCTTCCTGCTCTAGGAGCCCTTGCCTCTCTCCCGTGCTGCTGCAGTGACTGGGCAGCAGCCGAGGCCGTTGGACCCAGGCAGGCTGGAGAAAGGAACAGATGTCGCCCCCAAAGCCCTCATGCGCCTGGGCTGTGGGAAGCCTGATTGCTCTACATGGGGTGCACAGGCAGACTTCTGACTGCCACCAGCCAAGGACCTCCCAGGCCTGGCTCAGGAGACCACAGCAACAGGGTGTTCCTGGGACAGGGCTCAGCAAAGGTGACTTAGAGGATAGAGAATGCAACTAAGGCCGGGCACAGTGGCTCATGCCTGAAATCTCAGCACTTTGGGAGGCTGAGGCAGGTGGATAGCAAACCCTATCTCTACTAAAAATACGAAAATTAGGCCAGACACAGTGGCTCATGCCTATAATCCCAGCACTTTGGGAGGCCGAGGCAGGTGGATCACCTGAGGTTGGGAGTTTGAGACCAGCCAGACCAACATGGAGAAACCCTGTCTCTATTAAAAATACAAAATTAGCCAGGTGTGGTGGCACATGCCTGTAATCCCAGCTACTCAGAAGGCGGAGGCAGGAGAATCACTTGAACCCCAGAGGTGGAGGTGGCAGTGAGCCGAGATCGCACCACTGCACTCCAGCCTGGGCAATAAGAGCAAAACTCTGTCTCAAAAAAAAAAATTAATAAAAATTAGTGCCGCCTGGTGGCACCCGCCTCTAGTCCCAGCTACTAGGGAGGCTGAGGTGAGAGGATCACCTAAGCCTGGAGAGGCTGAGGCTGCAGTCAGCTAAGATCATGCCACTGCACTCCATCCTGGGTGACAGATCCAACCCTGTCTCAAAAAAAAAAAAAAAAGGATAACTCACCTAAAACTTTCTTCCAAGAACGAGGCCAGAGATAGTGTGCCCAGCTAGCCGCTGTCCAGAGCCTTATCTATCATAGAGGAAGTAGCTGCGACTGGGGTCCAGTAAATGTTTACCAGTGCGTGGACAGAAACTGTTCGCTGTGCAGAAGCAGAGGCTGGGGAAGTGAACTGGGCTAGTACCAACGCGGCCGCAGTGCCCTCCAGACCTGCGCTGGGCAGCGTGTGGGAGTTCTTTCATTCAGTCCTCCCTGCAGCGCTCTGAGGACCCTGACTTGACAGGGGAGGAGAGGGGCTTAGAGGTTCCTCACAGTTCTGGAAGCTGGAAGTCCCAGGTCAGGTGCCACCAGGGTTGTTTCTCCTGAGGCCGCTCTCCTTAGCCTGTAGACCACACCTTCTCCCTGCATCTTCATGGGGTCTCCCCCATGCATGTGTGTCCTTACCTCCTCTTCTTCTGTTTGTTTTTGGGTTTTTTTGTTTTGTTTTGTTTTTAGAGATAGAATCTGGCTCTGCTGCCCAGGCTGGAGCACAATGGCACGATCTCGGCTCACTGCAACCTCTGCCTCCCGGGTTCAAGCAATTCTCCTGCCTCAGCCTCCTGAGTAGCTAGAATTACAGGCACTCGCTGCTATGCCTGACTAATTTTTTGTATTTTTAGTAGAGTCGGGGTTTCACCATGTTGATTAGACTGGTCTTGAACTCCCTACCTCAGGTGATCCGCTCATCTTGCCCTCCCAAAGTGCTGGGATTACAGGTGATAGCCATCACGCCCGGCCTACCTCAGGAAAAAAAGAGGGTGGCCTAGGGGTTCCCTTCTTCTTGTAAGGACACCAGTCAGATTGGATTAGGGCCCACCTCAATGTCCTTGCTTAATGTTAATTACACCTTTCAAGTCCTGTCTCTAAATAAAGTCACATTCTGGGGATTAGGACTTCAACATATGGATTAGGGAGAGGAAGTTCAGCATATAACAGTGAGCAAAACAGACGGGCGGGAGGCCAGCCCTGGCAGGCTCCGGAGCCCCCACTCCCAACCATGAGGCCATCTGCCATTTGCATGGCAGGACAAAAAAACGAGGGCTGCAAAGAGAGATATAGGTGAAGGGGAGGAAGGCAGCAAAACACACTGCCACTTGTGTACCTATGCAACTATCTTGCATGTTCTTCACATGTACCCCAAAACCTAAAATACAATAAAAAAAAATAAATAAATAAAAACGGGAAAACTGCCCATGAATGTTAAATGACTGATACTAAATTTTAAAACACACCCTATCTAAAAACAATGATTCCAAATACGTTCTTTTTTTTTTTGAGATGGAGTACCACTCTGTCACCCAG